CTTAATCTTGTTTTGTGTCTATTTTTCTTTCTTACACTGGTTTCCTAAAGAAGCAAACTGTACTCTCGACACCTGGAGTGGGCATTTTCTCCCGTGCCCACTAGATGGCAGCTATGGGATTTGGAATACCACACTGAAACTGCATAAGTCATCACACTCAGCTGCCACAGCTCCAGAAGAGAAAACCCACTGGGGCCAGAGGGAGAAGCCATGCTCCTTTTCCTCACAGCCTATCCCCACCTCTTACACATAGCTGTTTGTCTTTTAAAGACAAAGCAAAGGAAAGGAAAACTGCTAAAGCTGGTAAACGTGTATCAGGTTTCTAATACGGTATTTAAGTTTTGTGCAGAATTGCACTGGAAAAGAGAAGCAGCCCCAAGTATTCTGTTCCTTTAGAAAAATCGTGAAGCTACAGTCTAGCAATAAATAGTCACGTGTTCTCGTGGGACATGTTTAAGATGTCTCTTTCCTCCTCCCTTCCTCCCTCCATCTCTCCCTTTCTTCCTTTTTTTTCCCCCTCTGAACATATACAGTGCAAATAGTGTGCTGCCTCAATGTGATCTCAGAGCTTTAATTTTCTCACAGTTGTAGGTAAAGGAGCTGAGTTTCTGTTTTGAAGGGTGTGTGCCTTTCCATTAAGGGGCGGAGGCTCTGGAAATGTAAAGGGCCAATCTCTGTTACAGAGGGGTTCATTGCAGAGAAGGGTGTGTTCTGCAAAGACAAACAGGCCTCACAGATAGTTGCCAAGGGCACCGAGTACATCTTTGCATTACACCTTGAACTAGCGAGCTCATATCACCACTTTTATTGCATGCACCATAAATGACTGTAAAAGTTTGCAAATCTTGCAGAGACCTTGGCAATCAATACTTCAACAGGAAATTTACAAAGAGGATGGGGGGAGGGGTCCATCCTAGTAATTTGCTTTTTTTTTTTTTTTTTGGCACAAGAACCATGTGCTGACATTGAGAATTATTAAGTGTTCGATTTTCACAGTGTCCCTGTCACATGCATAACATAGTGAGAGCAGTTTCAATTTAGATGCTCAATTTGAAGTCTTGGCTTTGCATTTTTATGAACAGGTAAGAGAGCTTTGAAAAGAGTCCGGTGGTCTTCCTTACATAAACTGGTCCTCCAGGGCTGTGACTTGAATGCCAGTAATCTGTAATAAAGTAATTTTAATCTGGGTAAGACTGGAACCAAGTTGGATGGCATGGTGATCCCTACTGTGACGCTTCTAACTTTAATGTCTGTAAGTCTCTGATTCATCCTGCCACCCAAAAGACCAGGAAAACATCAGGATTCCTTTTATTTTGGGGAGGATGATAAGAGATAACCAGTAAGTGGGCTGAGATTCAACCTGCCTGGTGACCTGATTTTCTTCTCTTCCTTCGCCTCTCTCCCTTTTTCCTTGAGCTTCCTTCTTCTTGCCTTGTATTGCTTTAAGTTTGAACTGTGGAAAGATGGGGGCCTGGTGGAAAGCTCAGCTAGAGAAACAGCAGGTGAAGGCACCCAAGATGAGGTGCCTGTTCTAGTACTTCCTCAGGCCCAGGGACTGACCTCTTTGTAGATCACTGCCCAGAGTCAGCGAAAATGAAGCTGGCCCCAAACTAGCAGGCTGGGGGCTTGTTTTAGGCTGGACTAGGGGCTTAAATGATTATGGATTCCCCTCTCGGTTAGCGGGGATCACCTGAGAAAGCACAGTGAATGGGGCCAACACTTCAGATGGTCTAGGAGTCACGTTTATCCTCATCCTCACCCTTCTTTTCCTCCCAAGCACAGTGACCTGAGTCCCGGCCTTCCCTTCTGATGCATAAAACATTCGAGGGTCTCCAGGGAGTTTTAGAAGTTTCAGCGGACGCTGTTTTATCCAGTGCTTGGCGGCAGGGTCAAACATGGCTTCCTCAGTTGAAGAGTCCTCATCCCAGCACAGCGCAGGATTAATTTCAGCAAAGGTCTTTTACAGGCAAGTGACTTTGATGATATTGCTAGGCTTTGTCCAAATCTAGCGTGTGTGTGTGTAGAAATGTTTGAGCTTCATACTTTCTTTGTATTTTCTCCTTCTGCAGGTGAATATGACTGAGCTTGGACTGTTATTCACCTCCCCTGCGCCCCTGCACGCCGCGGTGGCCGGTCTGAGGCCTGGGTACCACAAAAAGCGCTTAGAGGATCATATTTTTTAATCTAGCCAGCAAAGGTGGCGGCGGTATCAGCTGGCCTCTGTCAAAAGCGGACTTCTGCCGGTCACGTGGTACAAAGGGTTTAAGTTCTCAGCAGGTGGGGCGGGATTGCCCCCAGCAGCCACGTAGGGAAGCTCGGGGTCCTAAGGACCAAATTGTCCTCAGATCAGCCCCGTGTGCTCAAAAGGAAAAAAAAAAAAGACCGTACCCCACTCCGCAGCATCCTCACGTTCGCCTGCGCCCCCCTCCGAAAGAAACCAACTCTCCTGGCGAGCCCACTGTTTGTACGTTTCTGCATCGGGAAACTCGACCTTTTAGACAATCTTTGTGGCGTTGGGAAGAAGAATGAAATAGAGAAAGAAGGAAGAATACGTTCAGGCTGAAGGAGAGACCTTTCGTGAGAAAGTGAAGTGAGGCGGGTTTTAAGGCACGTTTTGAGCGTTCAGTGTTCGGTTAAAGGGGCAGATGGGACGTAAATACGCGTGTATAATTTTCCTCCTGCCAGCAGCTAGTGAAACGAAGCTTCATGTGTCTTCCAGGAACCTTTCCCTGAAACATTCTCGCGATCTCTTCCTGCTCTTTGTGGGCCCACGCTCCACCCCTGCTGAGCATCAGGGACCGGCTCTGCATAAATGCAGACTTTTCACCTTCAGCAACTAAAACCCATGCCACGGAGAATCGGAGAATCCTAGTAAATTAGGTTCAGTGACAGTATACATGATGGTCTCAGGCTCCGTCCTTTGGTTTACCTGGTAAAATCGCCAAGCTCTGAAGCCCGGGCGACCGCCTCACTTTCTTTTTACCTGTTAATAGATTGCTTTCATACATTAATCTGAAATCACTCCCTTCGCGTTCTTGACCCTAAACGTCGTCCCCCGTTCAGTGGGTTTTCCACGGAAAGAAATACAATACCTCTCTTTCATGGTATCTAAGACGTCACCCACTTTTTGAGAGCTTGGCTTGGCTGTGTCCATCTTCATTAGTCAAAAAGCTGTTGGTTAGATTTCCTGGCCAAGGTTCTACAAATTGTCAGCACACTTTTGAACAGATTCCACGATTATTTCTTGATAGATCAAAGATTCTACCACACAGCCAGCAGGCATTGATCATGCAAAAACAAACCTACAGATATTGTGGACCCACGGTTTAATAACGAGTTTTTTCAAGTCAAATATGATTTCCTTGTGGACGTGTGCGCATCAGGTCTCAGCTTTATGTGATCAGGAAGGGAGTTCATCTTCAAACTTTCAGGTTTTTATGTTAATTGTACATTACATTTTAGAATATTATTATACAACTTCACTATCCTAGCTTCTGAAAATGGTCCTTTCTTCTTTTTTTTTTCTTTCTTTCCCTTTCTTTTTTTTTTTTTTCTTTTCTTAGTTTTAAACAATGGTCACAGGAAAGCTGTAAACAACACACCTGTGGGCGATTTGCGTAACCAATGAAACCCCGTTAATTCTAACTCTTTGGCTCTTGCTGACCCGACCTGATATTCCCAGATGACCTGGTTGGAAGCCACTTACTTCCCTCACACTGTTTGCAAAGCCTCATGGGCAATGAGAACCCAGAGAATCTGTTTTGCTCTGGAAAACTCCACGTAAAGAAAATTATATGTGATCTGCTTCCTTTGTTCCGATTTCTAAAACAGCTAACTCCTTGGGTTTAAAAGAACCTTTCAGCAAGATATTCAAAAGGAGGAAACTGAGAAAGTTTAGTAAATCCTATCTAAAAAGAAAAAGACAAAAACCACTCCTAGCTCTTTGATCTCGCTGGCGTTATTACAATACTAAAAAACCAGCCAACCCCCTGGTCAGAAAAGAAAATCCGGTGGATTAAGTAACTGTTTATCTCATGAGCGTAATTACTTGTTAGACCTGAAACCTTTTATTCTTGCGACCACGCTGCTAAATTGATGAGATTAAAAAAGAAAATCACAGGTCTGTCTTTTCCTGTCACAAACTTTTGGACAAGATGACCAGCTATTGCCCGGAAGTGTCAGACATCATTTCATGAGGAAGAAGGTTATGGAAGGTGCCAGTGGGTATGGGAGGGAGGGAAGTTTCCCACTTGAAACATATGTAAAAGGGTATTTATTGACTAGAAACCACGGGTATCAGGAAGAGAAATGCGTTCTCCCTTGACAGAACAGAACTCTTGCAGAATAGAGCACCCGGGAGGCGTTCCCGTTTACAGGCCCAAGGTGCAATTTAAAGAAGTGCCCTTAGGGTCCCCTAGCGGTGTGGCTGCAGTCCTGTCCCCAGGAACCCATTTAATTCCTTTTAATGATATTTCTGCCCTTTTCTGGACCTCTTGTACAAAGAATTAGATTCGCATTCTAGGAGGACCGGCTTCTCCTTGCCACTTGCCCTAAAGCACTTTACAGCTAGAGTAAATGCCGCCGCCAGGAGGCTTGGCTCCGAGGGGAGGGGAAGGTCCCTGGGTTCGGACACTCAGCCTGGCCCAACCTGGCCAGGACTCGGAGTGCCTAGGAGATGGAGAACGGCCAGCTAGGGTTGGAGGCGTCAGGCCTTGATGGTCCTCTCCCTGCTGGATCTCAGAGCGGCTGTGGCTGTCACTGAAGGATGACTGCGAAGGCCCCGACGGTCGCTGCGGTAGTCCCTAGCCCGCAAGCCCTAGGGCTCGGGAACCGGGAAATGAGCTCGCCCGGGCGGAGGCTGCCTCGCTGCTTTCAGTTTTCATTGAGGCTCGCTGGTTACTGTTTAACATCCCCACCCACGTTTCAGTTTGTTTAGTAAATTGATCTCACTGTGAGAGTCAGGCCCCGGCCCTGTCGCCATTGAGCAAAGCTAATATTCTCCCGGCATATGGTCCCCCAAAATCTTTGCTAGAGATCCTGGAAAACAAACAAACAAAACAACAAAATCCCTGGGCCACCTCTATCGGAGCCCCACCCCAACTCCCGGCTGGCTGCAAACTTCCTGGCCCCAGGACGGTGCTCCGTGGGACACCGCGGTCAGGGCGGGTGGGGACCTACTGCTGGGATGCGGCTCAAGCCGCGCAGCTGAGTGCGACGCGGGAGCTCCGGAGCCGCTGGCGTGGGTGAGTCGCTCCGCCCGCGCCCGGTGCCCGGGGATAACCCACTTCACGCCCGGCTGCTGTCTGGCACCGGGAGTCTCAGTTTCCCCAAGAGAGCGGTTGAGAAGCTGAGCACCCAGAACCCTAGGCCTGATATTATGCAAAGCAGACCAGTTCACCCTAGGCCTTTTTCAGCCCAGGTGGACTGAAGAAAGGCTGGAGGATGCCGGAGTTAAAGAAAGGCCAAGTCCTTGGCCTTGGAGAAGGAAAATAGAAGCTGCATTTGTTTGGGTGTTGAGAAAGCTTTGGTAGCTGTCCCTGGTCACGTGATTCCAAGAGCTGTTGGTGGCGTTGGGGGAGTTTTCTGGGGTTTGGGGGTCTTTGGGTACTAGCTAGAGCACGTGACTGGATATTAACGGACAATAAAGGTGTGAGGATTAGTGTTGGTGCAGAAGCATCCCCTGACCCCATGGCCTTTGCTTAAGTATGTTTCCATATATTCTTTCAGACATTTGGGGATGAGGCACCTTCTTCTACTGATGCTTTTGGGGACAACTATGCAAGTCAGTAAAAGTGTCAGTTTCTTTGGGAAGATTTGACCTATTAGATGATGAGTTAAACCTCATTTGGGTTAAGTGACAGTCATTCAATGTCTAATGGGAAAAAATCAGTATGTGAGAAGATCTTAGAGCCCACTACCATGATCCCTACCCGAAGGGATGTGTTAAGGGAGTCTGCAAACTGAGCTCATATATGCATCTCCAATATGCAAAACAATCCCAGTTTTCATCCGAAGATAAGAGCTGGAGAACACAAGCGAAGGAGCTTATCACCTTGTGGGCTAGTCTGCAAATTGAAAGCCTCAGTGATGGCAGCATTTTCTGGTTTTGGCTTTAGTTACTTTATCCAGCTTGACAACTTATTTTACACATGACTTATTTCTTTTCAGAAGCATGTACTATTCCTCCACTTTGGCTGTCACTATTTGTTCGTAACCCTCTTCCTGCTCTGCCCCTCACCAGCTTCGTCTGTCTCATACTTCTGACTCAAGCATCTGAGTTCCTGTGTCTGAACTAAGTCAATGTTGGATTCCCTTGGTTGCACATCAAGTGATGGGATGGGAGGCATAGGAATTGCTGATAAGTTAGTCACTGAGCTCGTGAAAGCACGAAGGAAATAATAGCTATTTACATTCTCCTTGCCAGTCCTCTCATTCTTCATTTGTGGCTCTACAAATATGGGGATATTCTCAGCAAGCTGTAGGAAGGCACAACCCTGAGCCAAGATGTCACTGTAAAGATTTTAAGGGACTATTTATTCTTCGATTGTGGTTATAGGCTTATGGATCAGTACAAGTTAATTTTAAAGATTGTTATTTTTAAACACGTACTCAGCACGCAAATAATAACTGTATTCAGAGTGTCCCATTATTAAACTTCAAAACTGACAGATTTTCAGCAATAGAGTGCCAGCATCTTAAACATTGGCACATATGTATATATATGTACATATATGTATATATATGTGTATATATATAACAACATATATAGTGTTGCAAGCTCAGTAAGTTATTTCCAGTGGAGTACTTCATTACTTTGAAATTCTTTGTTATTTTTATAAATTCCAGAAATAACACTAGTTTGTAAAACAACAGGCAATTTATAGTAAAATATAAAGGGAATGTCTGTCCTGTTGTATATGGAGCCTTTGTTGACATTGGTTTTGTGTCTCCATTTATGTGTACAGATCATTAATGTTGAATTGCTTCAAAACTGAATAATGATTCATATTATATTGAAGTACCTACCCTAAACTACCTATGCCTCAGTCACTGGGTACCAATTTTTAAGATGTTGTCAGTGTCTAGTTGAAAATTGCTTGTCAGTTTGGAGATTACCAAGTTTGGAGATTACATAGACCATCCCTGGTTAGGTGAGTTCAGGAGTTTGAAAATTTTGCTTTGCAGGTTAAAGAAAGAAAGATTAGTAAATTTTGGAATGCTGTTCCCAAGGCTGGGGATGTAGCATCATAAGGGTAGAACACTTCCTAGTAGGCCCTATGTCTGCAACAGCACCATCGTATTTTGCCCTCATAAAGGATGCTCTTGTGTTTATGACTATTCACCCAAATACAGGTTCCTGATACGTGACAATTTCTACGTCCCAGGCACCATTGATAGCTGGAAGTAGCTATGATCTGTGTAGCTATTGAATGCTATGCTTGTTCATAAATGATTACTATAAAAGATTACTATCCATGTTCCTAAAAGAGGACTAACATCCTAGGGTTAAGGAATACTTTTAGTATACTTTTTTCTATTTAGTCCTCTTCATCTTCTTCTCTTCATCTTTTCTTTTCTACTTCTCCTTCTCCTTCTTCTGCTTTTTTTCCAAAAAGGATCTCATTTGTTCTCCACTGGCCTGGCCTTCAGATAGCTCTGATGATGACTTTGAACTTAGGAATCTTTCTGCTTCTATCTCTCCCTTTCTGGGATTGCAGGTGTGCACCATCATCCCTGATGTAGGCAATGAGGGAGGGTGAACACAGGGTTTTCTTTAAGCTAGGCAAGCAATCTACACAGTGAGTGAGCTATATTCTCAGCTTTCTTGTTTTTTTACATACAGGGTAGCCCAGGTTCACAGAGATTTTTTCTGTGCTGCAATTGCAGCCACCATGCCCTGCTGAATTCTTTAAAAACTATGTGATCAATTTCCAAAAGATGGGAGTCTTCAAATCTGGCATGCCAGAATGTCTTTGATAATCCTACCCCAGGAGATAGTGATAAGAAGGGCTAAGCCCTCAGGTGACTTCTTCAAAGCTATGGAGTGACCTCACTGGTGACCTTGGTAGAGCATGAATGCTGGGTTATCATAGCCTTTTCCATCATTGCACCTTAAGAGTGTCGGCCTTAAATTCCTCACTTTGTACCATTCCTTCAAAGGAATAAACATGGGAGTGAGGAGAGAGTTCCATTGATGAAGATCTTGCCACACAAGCATGAGGATCTGAATTTGCTCCTTAGAACCAATATTGAAAAACCAGGCATTGTAATGCAGACTCCCATAATCTCAACACAGAGGATGCAGAGAAAAGTGGATACCTGGCATTTCTGTTCCAGGCAGTCAGCCCTAATCTGTAAACCCCAGGCTGAACAGAGACTGTGACTCAAAAACGCAGAGTGGAAGGTGCCTGAGAAGCAAACGCTATGTTTGTCCCCTGGTCTCCATTCACACACAGAAGTGGATGCATAAATATATAAATATGAGCTCCTATATATAAGTACACATAGAAATCAAAGAACTACATATTTATAAAGAAGTTACCCCTTGTGGGGAGGAACAGGTGGTTATAAGGTCATGCATACTTGTAGCTGTGAATCCGTCTCTCCTTGGAGGGAATTATCCTCTTCTTTGTCAACCCTGCCATCCATTCATGCACAGGCATGTGTGTTTTATACATATGAGTTACTCCATAGCTGGATCAGTTAAAGAACCAAACACACACACACACACACACACACACACACGCATGCACACACACACACACACACTTTAATTAATATTGAGTTCTTAATGAATAGGTGATATTGTTCTAAGTCATTTTCATTTATTTTTCAGATCTTAGGGCTAATTCTGCATAATCAGTATTAATTTTCTATTTATTTTACTAACAGTACAAATAAAGCAGAAAGAAAAAAGTTGAGTATGACATTCGCAAGGTGAATTCACATACTGCCATGTGGCTCTGAGCCAAAAAGCAACCCTGAATGTTCCACATAGCCATCCAGTTGTTGAAGCCACAGATGTCCTCAAACAAGGAAGTGAGGGCTGAAACCTTGGTGCCACAGGCAAAGCCAACTTCCCCTGTTCTTGGTCTGGGAAGGTACATCTAGGTCACCAAGCATAGGTGAGAAATAGCATTTAAGTCACCAAGCATAGGTGAGAACTAGCAACAGACCTGTGCCTGATGTGTCATGTGCAAAACTCCACACTGCCATTCTTGGGTACTGATGTAAGTGGCCCAACATGCTCTTGTCCACTCCCCTCAAGTATACCTCAAAGAGCAGCTCTACCCATACTTGTCAGCCTGTGCTTTAAGAGGCTGTGGTGAACTGTGTTTGCGCTTTGTGTGGTAGAGTCAGCTGATGGTATGGAGTGCTCCATCCCTCTGACTATCTTTCATGTGATCATGGTGGCTTTCTGTAAGTAGTTCAAAATGTATTTCAAATGTATTCACAATGGAGGGCAAAACTATTTGTGATATTTTTGTTGTTTTGTTTAGCTTTGTTTTTTTTTTGAGGCAGGTTTCTCTGTGTAACCTTGAGATTAGTCTGCCTCTGCCTCCCAAGTGCTGGGATTGCAGGCATGTGACACTGCTTCAATTAGCAACAGTCTTTGAAGATATATATATATATATATATATATATATATATACATATATATGTATATATATAATGTATTTATGTGTGGTTGTGGGGAGTAGATATGTGGAAGCCAGAAAAGGGTGTCAGATTTGTTGGAGCTCGAGTTACAAGTATCATGAACTCACTAATGTTGGTGATGGGGAACAAAACCTGGTCTTCGGCAAGGACTGTGTGCTTTTTTAGCAGCTCAGTCATTTTTTCAGCCCTGATTTATATTAAATCATTAAATGTTACTTATTTTTATTTGCTTTTGCCTCAGAGATTGTTATTTGTATACAAGCAAACAAAGGACATATGGCTTTAGCAATCTTTGGACCCCTAAAAACCTGGCCAAGCTATCTGACAAGCCTTGGAACTCCAGTGATGCCTGCATAGACTGTCTCTTTGTTCACAGAACTTTTGGCTTTCAAGTGGGAAAAAAATTTACCCCAGCATAGTTCATTAGTTTGGAATATGTGTTTGGGCTTTGGCATGACCTGTGTACAAATCTCAGTTGTGTAGAGAACAAGTCACTTCATGTATGTGTGCATCAGCTCAAAGAATTGTGTTCTGAGAACCATATTTTCTTACTCTCAAGTTATGTGTGAATTCTTACATCATT